ATTATAGAATAGTCGACTACTTACTAAAGTAAGGAAAAGCAGACTGGTTACTGCAGTACATAATAGTGGACTAGTTACTGCAGTAAAGGAAAGGTAAAATAGTAACTGCAGTACAGAGTAGCAGGCTAGTTACTGCAGTGGGAATAGTATCCAAGTTACTGCAGTAAGGAATAGTAGACTAGTTACTGCAGTAAAGGAAAGGAAGGCTAGTTACTGCAGTAAAGGAAAGGAAGGCTAGTTACTGCAGTAAAGGAAAGGTAGGCTTCTTACTGAAGAGTAAGGAATAGTAGACTAGTTACTGCAGTAAGAAATAGTAGATTAGTTGATGCAGTAAAGGAAATGTAGGCTAGTTACTGCAGTAAAGGAAAGGTAGGCTAGTTATTGAAGAGTAAGGAATAGTAGACTAGTTACCGCAGTACATACTAGTGAACTAGTTATTTCACTAAGGAGTAGTAGAGGAGTTACCGCAGAAAGGAATAAATACAGTTTACCGCAGTGCATAAGTACCGACCCACTTTATAGAAAACGAATACAGTATACCCACACACACAAAATAAACTAAAGAAAAATATTTTTTTTAACCTCCTCCGCAGATTACAAATAGTGCAAAATATTACGTTACAACGTTAGAAAAATATTCCCATTCTATTTTTTTTCTGACATTTTACATAATATGAACTTTGGTAACCTCTACTGCTAACCGTACACTGATCACACAACAATTGGACATAAGGCATCTGTCTTCAAAGTTCCATTCAGTCTCTAAACACACGACACAAAACATCGTCTTTTGTTGTTTATTGTCTTCAAAGTTCCATTCAGTAGCCAAACACACCATACAAAACATCGGTTTTTACTGTTTTATTTGTCTTCACAGTTCCATTCAATCTCTAAACACACGACACAAAACGTCGTCTTTTAATGTTCATTTGTCTTCAAAGTTCCATTTAGCACCATACAAAACATCGGCGTTTGCTGTTCATTTGTCTTCGAAGTTCCATTCAGTCTCTAAACACACGACACAAAACATTGTCTTTTTTGTTCATTTGTCTTCAAAGTTCCATTCAGTAGCCAAACACACCATACAAAACATCGTCTTTTGCTGTTCATTTGTCTTCACAGTTCCATTCAGTCTCTAAACCCAACACACAGAACATCGGTTTTTGCTATTCTCTTCTAGGTCCTGACGCCCGAAGCAACGGGTCTAGAACTTTCTCCACCCCCAGTGCCATGTTGGACTGTGCCACCTCTGACAACGACAGCTCCAGTGCCAGATGGCAGCCTCTTGTCACGTGTGTTTACAACACGTCAATCAACAGCCCACACGCCGAGGTCGCGGGTTCGAAGTTCCGCTCCACCATGACCCCAGCGGCGGATATTTTGTTCGGGTGTTACTTGATTTTAGTAGGTGAGATATGTGTGACGTAGTATTAGAAAGTTGACTTGACTTGACTTTTGACTTTGACTTTGACTTTGACTTTGACTTCGTCTTTGTCTTTGTCTTTGTCTTTGTCTTTGTCTTTGTCTTTGTCTTTGTCTTTGTCTTTGTCTTTGTCTTTGTCTTTGTCTTTGTCTTTGTCTTTGTCTTTGTCTTTGTCTTTGTCTTTGTCTTTGTCTTTGTCTTTGTCTTTGTCTTTGTCTTTGTCTTTGTCTTTGTCTTTGTCTTTGTCTTTGTCTTTGTCTTTGTCTTTGTCTTTGTCTTTGTCTTTGTCTTTGTCTTTGTCTTTGTCTTTGTCTTTGTCTTTGTCTTTGTCTTTGTCTTTGTCTTTGTCTTTGTCTTTGTCTTTGTCTTTGTCTTTGTCTTTGTCTTTGTCTTCAGTCTTCAGTCTTCAGTCTTCAGTCTTCAGTCTTCAGTCTTCAGTCTTTGTCTTTGTCTTTGTCTTTGTCTTTGTCTTTGTCTTTGTCTTTGTCTTTGTCTATGTCTATGTCTATGTCTTTGTCTTTGTCTTTGTCTTTGTCTTTGTCTTTGTCTTTGTCTTTGTCTTTGTCTTTGTCTTTGTCTTTATCTTTGTCTTTGTCTTTGTCTTTGTCTTGACTTTGACTTGACTTTGATTTGACCTAACCTTCTTAACTATTTGTGGAACATAGGGCCTCAACCATAACGTTCCATTTCGCCCAGTTCCCGACTGTTAATTTCGCAGTCTCGCAAGACATTCCTGCTGTCTTCATTTCTTCAAGAAGACCCCACCTCCAGTTGTGTCTTGGGCGCCCGCTCTTTCGCTTTCCCTGGGGGTTCCACTTAAGTGCCTGGCTTGTCAAGTTTAAGTGAGCCTCTAGCAGTGTTTGTCTACCTATCTCCTTCTTAAAGTAGAGTCACTGAAACCGGAACTATACGGTTAGATATAGAATATTAGCAGGCATGGGATTTATGACGTAATACTAGAAGGTTAGATTGATATAATATGGGTAGATAAAGGATGTATGACGTAGTACTAAAAGATAGGATGTTGGATATAATATGACCAGGTAAGGGATTTATGACGTAATAGTAGAAGGTTAGATGTAATATGGAAGTAAGTAAAGGTGTGACATTACTAGAAGGTTACGCAGATACAAAGAGACCGATTAGATAGACCTACCACGCTCAAAAGTGACCGAGAAGATAGACACATACTACGCAGATACATTCAAAGTGATCGAGCAGATAGACACATACTACGCAGATAAACTCAAAGTGACCTATATGATAGACACATACTACGCAGATAAACTCGATGTGACCCAGAAGATAGACCTACCACGCAGATAAACTCAAAGTGACCGAATAGATAGACCTACCACGCAGATAAGCCCTGACCAATAAGTCAGACATCTACTCTTTATAGAAAAAAAAGTACAAAAAGTTGGAGAGAAAGATAATTACATACTTTTAACCTAAGGCTAATCCTAGGTGAAAAAACAAGTTAAGGAGCTTTTTTCTTAACACGTCAACTGAATCCTACTACCATATTAATATCAAAAGTATGTATTTTGAATAAGTTCTGTAATTATTAGAGTCATTTTAAGGATTTAAAAAAATGAGCTCTATTTACGTCATCAATCTTTGTTCATTTTAATAACTCTGACAATAAGCGCAAAACGGACCTATATGTTACTATTGAAAACATTGTAAAATAAAATGATAATTATAACGTATCTAATATTAAAAAGCAAAGAAAATTTGCTTGATAAAATTAGGAAACAACTGTGTTTGATAGATACTATGTGCCCACAAATTGTACTTGGTTGAACCTTTATAATTATAAAATTTAATTTATCGTAAACTTTAACATTTATGTTTTTCAATTCTATTCATGTACTGATAAATTTCGATAGTTAATTATAACGTTTTAGGGGTGGCATGGCTGAGGTGTAGAGCGCTCAACTGCGATTCCGAAGGTCTTTCAGTTCGGACTTCGGTCCAGATTCGTGACTATAGACATCTGCATTCACCTAGCTCTGATGGGTACCTGACTCACGTCTAGGGAAAGTAAAGGCAGCTGGACATAGTGTTGATTACACAGTCCCTACCTATGTGAGGTCAAGTAACGTGAACTCTACTTCATTTGCCCGTCATTAAATATTTTAGCACTTAGAAAATAATAATCTATGAGGTATAAAATTGACCTCCATTTTCCCTTTAATTGTACCCACTATTTTTCAGACATCTGAGAGGGATAGGGTAGACAACCCCAACTAGTGTATAATTTTAAAAATATATTTTATAATATAAATTATATACTTTTACCATAAATAACCCCCTCCCCCAAGCAATATTTCAACCCCACTCCCCCCACCCCGAAGACAAATATCTGGGAAAAACCCTGGTTGACACTCGATTTGAACAATCATTGTTTTCAACCTCACTCCTGCCTTACTTCCCCTTACTTTAGCTCTCATAAAAAAAAAGCTAGTTTACTGTCACTCTTCTTTTGTACCCACAACCGACCTAAGGGAAAGAACACAACACTGACATAAACCCATCTCGAATTTCACTATCCCCCGGGTTATGAACTATTTCTATCATAGCTTTAAATAAAGCGGGAGTGGTCTCCCCTAGACTTCATCATATAATCCTATAAAACAATATTCAAGATGGCACTTTCAGTGCAAGCAGGGTACTGAGATGTAGAAATTTGTGACAAAACTGCTTGTTTTTCGAGAAAACACATACAGGTGAAAAGTTCTTAGTATAAAGTTTGGAAAAGTGATATTAACAGCACAAAAAAGCAGACTAGTTACTGCAGTAAATAGATTATTTACTGCAATACAGATTAGTAAACTAGTGCAGATCTTTAAATAGTATGATATCAAATTATTGAAGTTCTTTTTTTTGAGAAATCGGAAATAGTTTAAAGTGTTACTTCCAATCACCGAAAATCGCCCAAAATTAGAGGAAAACAAGAGAATAAGATCTTATAACTGTGTTGAACATCGTCCGTCTACACAAATCGGTATTCTTGTTATCGGTGTTTTAGAATTCTAAAATCAAGTACCACTTTTGGAAATCGGAAGTAAATTAAAACATATAAAAAATAATCTTAGTATCTGAAATTATAACTACCTGAAACATTACTCAAGTAATAGTGTTCACGTGAAAATAAAATATACTACTACTTCCGGTTACCGGAACAAAAGTTTATAAAACATACACATAAAATTTAATAGTCCAATTGGAATTTTCCCACCTAATTTATATTGTCCTCAACTTATCGTTTTTTTAGAAACCGGAAGTAGAATAAGTACCACTTTTATTTCCGGAAAAAGCTTAGTTTTATAGCGTACTATAAATTTGAATAATAGTCATCGAAGAAATATTGTCAACACAACTATCGTGTTAACATGAACACAGACACACGGACAAAATAGACAAAGGTTAGATTTCTTGCACGATTACATTACGTCAATACTCCGTGTACAAAAAGTAAGTAAAACGGCGAAAACTGTCAAAACTTTGCTTACTTTTTAAGCACCGTTTTTTTTTTTAAAATACTCCTTTAATACTACGTACACGAAAAAATAAAAATGTTACGCACCAATGCATTGCAACGTTAACAGGAGAATAATAGGATGGGATTTTCTACTCAACTCTGGTGTGCTTCCTCCACGCTGACCAGATTAAGCCGAAGCGTGACGGATAAAAGAAAGGAGTGACACACTACCTAGCGGGTTTCATAATAAAATTCTCAAAGAATTTATTGTAATAGGATTTAGACAAGGGAACTTTCATAGTGCGGAAAAGTTAGTCGGTGTGGGTTCAAATTATAAAGAGGAAAACCCATGTCAATGAAGCTTTCAGTTGTTTAAGTACACTCGACCACTAGGAAATGAATCAAATTAGAAGCTACGACGTAGAATATGACCATACTAAAAAAAAACTCTGAGCAAAAGCGTTTTCCTATAGGAAAATAGTCCTTTTACATAACGTTTTATGAAATTGTTTGAAGTCGGACACTGAGACACCCATCCCCTCTCTTCCTTCCAATTATAGTCCCACCAATTTTAAAACACTTACAAATTAACTAATTATTTTTCTCCCCGACAGAGCTCCTGGCTATCGTGTTCAACGGTTTCGTCATCGGGATATCCATCTGGAAGCGGAAGTCGCTGAAAGCCAGTGACACCTACGTCGTCTGTCTGGCCGCGTCTGATCTAGGTCACCCCTTGACCTCCTACCCAATGATTATAGCATCGTCCTTCCGGCATTCGTGGATCTTTGGGGAAGCAGGTCAGTGACCTCTGTTTGTGTTTTATGTTAAGCCAACATGTATTTCTCTGTGGGCAACATTAGAAAACCTAGTGGATTTGTTAGTAGACAAAATTAGATGACCTAGTGTATTAGTATGTGGTCAACATTAGAAGAAAGACCTAGTGTATTAGTCTGTGGGCAACATTAAAAGACCTAGTGTATTTGTCTGAGGGCAACATTAGATGACCTAGTAGATTTGTTAGTAGACAAAATTAGAAGACCTAGTGTATTAGTATGTGGGCAACATTAAAAGACCTAGTGTATTATTCTGTGGGCAACATTAGAAGACCTAGTGGATTTGTTCGTAGACAAAATTCGATGACCTAATGTATTAGTCTGGGGGCAACATTTAAGGACCTGTTTGATTTGTGGGCCATAGTAGAGGACCTGGTAGGCTTGCTCGTGGACAAAATTTAAGGACTTAGTGGATTAGTTTAAGCAATATTTAAGGACAAAGTGGGTTTGTGGCCAACATTTTAGGACCTTGTGGCTTTATTTGTAGGTAACATTTAAGAACTTTAGTGGGTTTGTTTGTGGGCAACAATTGAGGACATTGTGGCTTTGTTTTTAAAGCTAACTCTGAATACCTAGTTGGTTAATTTGTCAGCAACATTGGAGGGCACAGTGAGTTTATGGTCAACATTAGGGGATGGAATGGGTTTGTTTTTAAGTCAAATTTAAGGACTTTAGTGAATTTGCTTGTGAGCAATATTTAAGGACCTAGTTGATTAATTTGTCAGCTGCACTGGAGGGCATAGTTGGTTTTTGATCAACATTTTAGGACCTTGTAGCTTTGTTTGTAACATTTAAGGACCCAGTGGATTTAGTTTCGGCTAACTATTGAGGACCTAAAGGATATGTTTTTTTTCTTTTTGCCACATTGTTCATATAGTTGATTTGTCTGTACGCAGCATGTAAGGACGTACTTTTTCCCCACGTATTTCTCTAACATTGCAAAATGTAAGTTGCCCAATGCCAAATGTCATTCATTTAAAACAGCTGTCGTGTGCATTGACTATTGGTATTAATTTCCTGCTCGCTGTAACATTATATTGATAGAAACAAAACCAGCTACAGAAGTTTCACGGACTTAATGAGATTATTTCCTAATTAAATCCTAACACCTAGTAGACATTTAATAATCCGTTTTAACAATTTAAAACTTGTCAGACTAAAAAGAATTAATAAAAAAAAAAAAACCAAATACATTTTTTAAAAATTAAAAATTAAATTTTATAAACCTTAGTTTAGAAGTAGGCGTTGATTAATTAATACTGCGCTAATTTGTTTTAAAAAAAAGATGTCTGTAATATTCAATAAACGAATATAAAAACAATTTTAAAATGAATTTAGATGCACTTTTAGTCAGCCCTGTTAACGTGATTATTAAGTTAGTTGTTTTTACGAGTTGTTGGTGGAAAATAGAAAACTGGAATTAGTACGCCGGCGTGGCGTCACTAGGTCGGGTGTCACCCGGTGCGGTAACCGGGTAGGGGAGTCAATCTATACATTTTTTATTTGCATTTTCAGTTTGGTGTCACCTCCAGTCCTATTTTAGTTTTAAACTTATAGAGCATAGTCTTGTCATTAAATTAACATATTTTAAAAATGTGGTGTCATCCCCTAAATGGTGTCACCTGTAAATGGTGTAACCTGCAACTGAAGACCCTGCGACAGTGAACACCCTGCGCCAGTAAAGAACCTGTTTCAGCGTTAACCCTGCAACAGCGTAAACCCTGCAACAGTGTAAACCCTGTGACAGTGAAGACCTGCGACAGGGAAATCCCTGCGATAGTGTACACCCTGCGACAGTGTACACCCTGCGACAGTGTAGACCCTGCGACAGTGTAGACCCTGCAACACTAAACACCACCTACTACCACAGACCTGGTACCACTCCCTCGCCGGGTATCGTGCCGATCTCTCGTGCTGCGACAGTGTTGTGTTCCGTGGCCCGACTTTGATGATTGACAGCCGCTTCTCTTCATCTCTACCTTGTGATGCTGTCATCAGCAGACACGCTAGGGCCGGTCAGATCCGGTATCACCCCCCCACTTAGATCCCCACTAGAACAGTCGGGTTCAATTTACGTTTATTAGTGAAGGAATAAATAAATGTAAGTCTAAAAACTGTAAAAAAAAAGATTGAAGAAATTATATATCTAAAACTTTAAAAAAATTTAAAACTGAAGAAATATATAATAAAATATTCGTCTGAAATGTTTAAAAGCATTTAAAATCTGAAGGAATAAGTAATAAAATATTCGTCTAAAATGTTTAAAAACGTTTAAAATCTGAAGGAATAAATAATAAAATATTCGTCTAAAATATTTAAAAACGTTTAAAATCTGAAGGAATAAATAATAAAATATACGTCTAACAACTGTAAAAACGTGTAAAAACTGTAGAAATATAGAATAAAATATGTCCAAAATCTTTATAAACTTCTAAAAACTAGAGGAATAAATAATAAAATATTCGTCTAAAATATTTAGAAACGTCTAAAAAACTGTAGATATATAGAATTAAATATGTCCAAAATCTTTAAAAACTTCTAAAAACTGAAGGAAAAAATAATAAAATATTCATCTGAAAACGGTAACAACGTCTAAAAAACTAGAAATAAATAAAATACACGTCTAAAAAAACTGTATTGTATCTCAATATTAATCTTGTGTAAACTAATTCAAGCAACCGGCACCACAGCAAGACATGCTAAGGCGGCAAACATGTTGAAAAATTATTTTGAGTGCTTTAAGATGAATTAAATTGTTTCTAAAATGCTGTTTAACGCACCTCTTCAATGGCACTAAAGCCTTATCCTTACATAAGACAAACCGATCTCGAATTTAGAACCCCTATTCCAGAAGATTCCGAAAACCTACACGAGAAGCAAAAAAAAAATGTTTGTCGTGATTGAAATAAATATGATTCTATTTTATCCTCTTTAAAAAAACAAAACCCTTTTTTTTTTTAAATTCACACACAAAAAACCGGATTAAAATTATGTATCATGTAGCTTATTATTACAGGCTATATTCTAACTGTTTGTTTTCAATTATTAATTGTTATCTATTTCTGCGATAAGATGTCGCGGTGTAAGCTTGAGTAATAGCCAGATTGTTTAAACTGTAAATTATACCCCGGAGGATATTTTTTTAATAGCTTTGTATCATCGTGAACAAGAGTATATAATTGCCGTTCCGGCCAGGCCCTGCTCTAGCCTTTGTTTTTTTTTTCTTGTTTTTTTTTACAGGCAGTTAAATTTGAATCCCTCATAGTCTTATTTTCACTCTAGCTGTGTATGTAATGGCGATCGAAGAAAATCTATTCCAAAACCAAATGCAGACTTTTTAAACGTAATGTCTGTAATCGTCTTTTTGTATAGCAGCGAATACTGGAAAGCAAACACCGCTAACAGCTGATAACTGGAGTCTTTCCAAAGTAAGTGCCTGTGAAGGAGAAAAAGGTATCCACTGGCCTACTACCATCGTCATGATAAATTTACTAGGTGAAATGGAAATGGGGAATGTTTCAGAAGTAACTGAAACAAATGGCGATGGATGGAGTATGTTTTAAGGATGAAAACAGGTGATATCACATACATTTTGCTGAACCTGAACGCCTCGAGGAAAAACAGAAGGCTGCGAAAGACTGGGGACTCACAGAAAAAAAACAACAACAATTTAAACGAGCATGACTATCTTGTAGAACTGATGAGAAATATCCCAGACAGTGACAATAGTTTTCTGACCTGGGCACCGAAAGGAAAAAGATGAATGAACTTGTGTAGGCTACGTACACAAGATGAATGCATCAAAACTGGGAATAACTGCGTTATGTCTATATCCCCCCACACCCCTTGATCAATAATTATTTAATTCAGCGACGCACTAAATACAAAGCAAGCAAATTAACAGAGTGTGCATAGTTAAAAGCAAAAACTAACAACATATACTTTTATAATAACGTATGATTTACTCTGAGTATGCCTTAAATAAACATGTAAACATAGTTAAATCTGGCGATGGCTTAAGAAGTAAGCACAGCCAGTACCCCCCCCCCCCCCCCCCCCCCCCCCTCACTCAAATCTTCCACATAATGTTCAATTAAAAAAACAAAACACATATAAGTATATTAAAAGTTATTAAACATTTTGATTATTTGCAATTTTTATTTCATTTTATAAAAAAATGTTTTATAATATATTTTAAAATATGTACAGATACTAGGATCATTCACAAGTTTGAATACTTTCTTCTATTAAAGAAAAAACAACTGTTAACCTCATTCGTGTTACCCAAAATATTAACCAATGCAAATTCTTCCTCCTTGAGCAGTCACATTTTAAAAAAATGTTTATACACAACGCAAATTTTCTTGTCAATGTGATTTATTCATGTGAACTTTAACCCCCACCAGGTTGTCAGTGGAATGGGTTCACCGGGTTTTTCTTTGGAGTCAACAGCATGATGACATTGGCCGTCATGAGTCTCAGTCGTCTGCTGGTTATTACAAACTCTAATTTTGGTAAGTCATAAGTCATCACAAACTCCGATTTCGTTAAGCCATATGTCATCACAAACTCAAATTTTGTAAGTCATATGTCACCACAAACTTAAATTTCGTTTAGTCATATGTCATCACAAACTCTAATTTTGTAAGTCATATGTCATCACAAACTCAAATTTCGTTAAGTCATATGTCATCACAAACTCTAATTTCGTTAAGTCATATGTCATCACAAACTCTAATTTTGGTAAGCCATATGTCATCATAAACTCAAATTTTGGTAAGTCATAAGTCACAATCGTCTGCCAGCCATCACTAAGTCTCAGTCGTAAGCTGGTCATGACAAATTCAAATTTCGGTAAGTCATGATTTTCAATCACCTGCTGAAAATCACAAACTCTAATTTCGATAAGTCGCGAGCCTCAGACGTCTGCTAATCAACGCTAAATCTAATTTCAATAAGTCATAAGTCATCACAAACTCCCATTTCGGTAAGTCAGGAGTCTCATTCATCTGCCGGTCAAAAACCAACTCCAATTTCTGTAAGTCTTCTTTCACCACCCACCAGAGTAGATCTCATTTAGAGTAGGGTGTCGCACTCGATTTTAAATGTCGTCACTTCTCAATGAGACTTGTGTAATAAATAGTTACATCATTTCCAATTTAACAAGACACAAATTGAATTAACAGCGTAAAATGAAAATACCCACAATGCTGTGAAAGAACTCTCTTTTTAATAGTCAATAAGCGAATCCAGAAAGAAAAACAGGGTGAAATCAGAGTCAACGGCGTATATGACGCATAACAGTCGTACACGTAATTTTTAGTTGTGTTAGAAGAAATCCCGTCCAACATTAAGAAGAAGACCCAAGACTTATGGGGCAGAGCTCATCTGCTTCTGAGACCTCGGCATATAAAGGGATAGTGTGGTCAGCACTATGCTCAGCCGCCTTTGTTTTCCTAACGTGGGTAAGGTAGCCATCAGAGCTGGGTGGACTCAGGGACGTTCCACTGATTTGAACTCGGATTCGAACTCGAGACTCTCAGGTTAGCAGTCTAGCTTTCTACCGCTAGGCCACGACGTCCCAAGAAGATGATAGTCAATGAAAAACTGTTTTTGGTAATTGACTTTTTATACAACTGGGCTTATACTTTGATACAAATGGACAAAGGCTGCATCGGGCCAAAGTATTAAACAGTAGCGTAGCGGGGAGGTGGGGGGAGGGGGGGGGGGAGGGGCGGGGGGACATATGTCCCCGGGCGCCGACCTTAGAGGGCGCCAAAATGGGTTGGAAAAATAAATTGAAAGTTTGAGGGGGGTGGAGATCAAAAGTTTGAGGGGGGGGGGGCAAATCGAAATCTTGATGGGGGGGGGGGGGGGGGGGGGGGAGGGGGCAAATCGAAATTTTTTCCCCCGGGTGCCGGGAAGGGTCGATACGCCTCTGGAATTAAATACTTAACTAAGATCTGCTGGACATAAAAATAATAATGGAAATCATTACCAAATAATCATTTAGGCGTCGATGTCATGGAAATAGTTGGACTCTACTTCACCTAACCCAGTCTATTTTAGAGACCTAAGAAAGATAATGGTGCGACATATCAGACATGTTGTATTTTAATACCCACTGCCATCGCGTGCCGTTTATAAATCCCCCTTTTGTATTTCACGGATTAGGATGAACTCCATGTGAGACGCTATTCATGGTTTCGTTTATATCCATATGAACAAAGACCGGCTTTTGATCTGATAAATCTCATTGATCTACTAGTATAGAAGCTTGTAGCCCGGAACTCCACACGTCATCAGATTCACAACGTTTACTCATTATATATATATATATATATATATATATATATATATATAAATATAAAAATATATATATATATATATACATATATATATATATATATATATATATATATATATATATATATATATATATATATATATATATTTATATATATATATATATATATATATATATATATATATATATATATATATATATATATATATATATATATATATATATATATATATATATATATATAAACATTAGCTTGCATGTTTAAAATTACTTCTACAAACATGACTATTAAGAGAAGAGATATACATTTTAATCTGTACTAAGTCAAATAATTTCAATTTACCAAACGACCACGGAAATAAAAACATTCGACGTTGGGAAAAGTCCCGACTTTATTTAATTAATTAGAGTAGGCCTATCTGGAGTTTAATTAATTATTGTGTATTTTTACGATTATAATTATTCAACTGTGAATTATTTCACCATTTAGTAAAACATTAATTTATGAATTCGACATTCTGGTAGAGAGAAGAAACATTTCTTGAATATTGCGCATATACTTTTTTTTTCACATGCTGTGTTCTAGAATAATCAATATCCAGTTTCTAATTAGAAAAAAACCACAACAAATTTTCAATATATAATTATCATAACGTTTTTTCTCTCTCAGAGGCTTCGTGTTTGCATCTCATTTAGTTTCATTTTTTTTTTAACTTCGTGGCAAAACACAACATGGAAAAACCATAATTTTTTAAAACACAAATCTTAGCGCTAAACGACGAAACAAAAGATTGTACGTGATTTATGAACCCAGTAGGCGAATGGCCGCCCGTGTCAAATTGCAAATTGCGACATTCAAAATGTGATTCCCTTACCTAGACAATAATCTGGAACACGAGTCCAATAGCATTAATCTTCAAAGATATGTTATTGCGTATGTAATGGCTACACTGTTAGCTTCCTAGTTACAGATTGTTTGGATCACGTGACAAGACCTTTAGCCGATTTTGTGACATGTCATACACATACAATTACATATACAGATAAATAAATACGTATGTGTGTAGATGTATAAATATAAATATATATTTATGATATATATAAGTTATATATATATATATATATATATATATATATATATATATATATATATATATATATATATATATATGTAGGATGTACTCTAGCTAGTTATACATAATTACTTTCTTTAAAGTGAATATTAAATTCTTCTTACGACAGTTAAACTTGGATTTGTATTACACACGTATTGAAATATAAACCATTTTTTTTTCCATTTTCTCAAAACATTGCTAGAATTTTGAATGTGACATTAATACACACATAAAATAGAATAAGTTTATACATTATTCAACTTAAGCAAGATATAATTCTGTTTATGCCTGATATATTAGACTACTAATCGTGATTTTAATCCGAAATTTAACACTGAAATTATAGCTGGATAAAATAACAATTTAAGAAAGCTTAACTCTACTGATGCTTCATTGGCGGGAGATTCTAAAAATAGAGATACAGTGGCGGACTAGAACACACCCTCACCCTGTTGACACGATTACCTTGTGCTATTTATAAGACACCATGAAATTAGGCACGGCAGTTGTCATTGTTTAGGGGGGGGGGAGTGCACAGTGTTTCTTCCAGACTTTTTTCTCGGGGGGGGGGGGGGGCAATTGAAATTTTCAAGGGGGGCGGTAGACTTTCTTCAGGAAGGGGGGGGCGGACACTGTTAAAAATATATTTTCTATATAAATTATATAAATTTCATTTAGTTAGGGGGTGGGTGGGTGGGGGGGGGGGGGTTGGGCGGTAGACTTTCTTCGGGGGGGGGGGGGGCGAACGCCTGGAAGAAACTCTGGGAGTGTATAGTCCTAGACTATGCGTAAGGAAATGTCTTCTTCTATTCTACGCCCGTAATAGTATAGATTTTTTCCGGGAACATTTGTCCAATGTAAAGTTAGCTCAAAAAAATGTCCTCGTTTTTACTCCCTTATCATTTTTTCCTATTTGTGCCCAAGATACATGGGGCCGCCACAGAAAGCTCCCTCAACGTATGTCGGTCTCAAGCACATTTTCCTGGCAGTCCCCCATGACAGTCCTGAATCTGCCAGCTGCTTCCCCGCCGTGCGCCTCCACGTCTCCATTGGCCTTCTTTGCTTTCTTTCAGTTCAGCGCTATACCTGCGATGTCTTCTTGATTCATTCTTACGACGTGCCCCATTAATCGCCATCTTTTTTCAATTGTTTTTAAACGGTTTCCATTTCCATCTCTCCTAGTAATTCATCATTTGAGAAATGGTGTTAGACCAGGGGTCGACAGCCTGCGGCTCGCGAGCCGCATGCGGCTCTTTTGATGTCAAGATGCGGCTCTCCAGCTCCTTGCACACATACTAATAATCTTAATAAAAAATAATATATTTGAAATAAAATAAATGTTAGTGGCTCTTTAAAACCTGGGAAATTTCGAAAATTGTAACTTTTGGCTCTTCCGCTTCAAAAGGTTGCCGACCCCTGTGTTAGACCAGTGTATGCCTTCTATCTGTACTCCCTCAACTCAGAGTTTCTTCTAGGCATCTATTCGGGGGAGGGGGCGGGGGGCGAAGAAAATCTACCGTCCCCCCTCCCCCGAACGAGATGGAATTGATATAGAAAGCATATACATTTACCAGTGTCCCCCCCACCCCGAAAATATCAGACATCTCTCCGCCTTAGGTTCACGTCAACCCCGCCAACCCCTCCCTTTGGTACGAAATGAAAAAAAAAACTATTTAGAAAATGTATACTTTAACCAGTGTCCGTACGTCCCAAAAATTTTAAGTGCGCCACCCTCCCTGGAGAAATAGGTCTGAAAGTAACCCCCACTCCTCTTCCTGACTCGTTGAATTCTTTATGTCCTACATGCAATTATCCAAAGTACTTCACCTGTACTAGCCTAACGACCATAATAGATGGGGCAGCTTCAATTTGCTAGTCTGTTTGTACCTGATGGTCAATATGGCAGATGAAGTAGAGTTCATATGTTTTCTTAGCCACGTTATATGAAGGGATTTTTTTAGTCAGTTATATGCCAACTCTCTTTTGAGCTCCCTACCTTGTCAGCTGAGTGAAATCAGAGACGTTCGACTGAAATGCCAGGTACCCATTAGAGCTGGGTGGGCTCAGAGACTTTCGAATAGTATGCAAAATACCTATTAGAGCTGAGTGAAATCAGAGACGTTTGACGGAAATGCCAGGTACCCATTAGAGCTGGGTATGCTCAGGGACATTCGACTGATAGACCAGGTACCCATTAGAGCTGCGTGGGCTCAGAAACTTTCGACTAGTATGCAAAATACCTATTAGAGCTGAGTTGAATCAGACACGTTTGACTGACATGCCAGGTACCCATTACAGCTGAGTGAACTCAGGGGCGTCTTACGATTTCGAGTCCAGACTACGAACTCGAGATTTTCCGTCAAGCAGTCGTGCACTCAGCCAGCTCAGTCACGCCGTTGTAGCCAATTCGTTAATTAAACAGATATCAGGTCCTGCTTAAGACAGATTTACAATAAGAACATGCGCAACTCGCCGATGCGCAACTCGCCGATGCGCACCCCACTGGAAGAGGCACCGAGTGAACGTAATACACCACTAGATCGATAATGTAAATACATGACCAAATCAATAATGCGATACATCACTAAATCACCTTAAAAAACTAATTTGTTGAGATGAAATATCGACGTTGTACAGATGTAATTTCTCTAGCTTATGCTATTCAATATATACTAATCTCTCAACCGTGAAGGGCAGAGTAGCATCCCTTGCACAAAAAAAAAAACAACACTTCAAGGATCCATTAAAGGCTAAAGCAAAATGTAAAAAAAAAAAAAAAGAAATCATATAAAATATTTGGAAATATAATATATAAAAATATATACAGCTTATGTAATATTAAAAAAATAAATATGAAAATATTTTTTTGTATGAAAAATTGAAATATTTTACAATGATTATTTTAATATTAAAAAAAAAGTTTGAATGACGGCTCATTGTATTTTCTAAAACACCAATTCACCTATATATTGTACTTTATGAAACAGCAACCCATCTATATATTTCACTTTCAGAAACAACAACTCATCTATAAATTGTATTTTTTGAAACAGCAACTATATATTGTACTTTCTAAAGCACTAACTCATCTACATATTGCACAAAAGGAACTCATTTATATATTGTACAACATCAACTCATCTATATATTGTACAACAGTAACTCGGATATATATATATATATATATATATATATATATATATATATATATATATATATATATATATATATATATATATATATATATATATTGTACTTTCTAAAATATATATTATACAACATCAACTCATCTATATATTATACAACAACAACTCATCTATATACTTTCTCACCCAGCACGAAGCCACGCCCGCTCCATCACATTGACCTTGATGCTCAGCAGTGTGGCCTTCTCTCTGTTCTGGGCCGTGTGCCCCATCCTGGGCTGGGGAGAGTACGGCCCCGAGCCCTACAGGACGTCGTGTACCCTCATGTAAGTGGGCGTGGTCTGTAATACCTTCTGTTGTATACCAATGTAACAATGTAAGATGCCTTGTTCTTAGCAAGATGGCCTCCTCTCTATAAGTTAGCCTGCTCTTTATATTTGGACTGCTCTTTATATTTGGCCTCTCTATAAGTTGACCTGCTCTCTATAAGTTGACCTGCTCTCTATAAGTTGGCCTGCTCTCTATAAGTTGGCCTGCTCTTTATATTTGGCCTCTCTATAAGTTGGCCTGCTCTCTATAAGTTGACCTGCTCTCTATCAGTTGGCCTGCTCTCTATAAGTTGGCCTGCTCTCTATAAGTTGGCCTGCTCTTTATATTTGGACTGCTCTTTATATTTGGCCTCTCTATAAGTTGGCCTGCTCTCTGAAAGTTGGCCTGCTCTTTATATTTGGACTGCTCTTTATATTTGGCCTCTCTATAAGTTGACCTGCTCTCTATAAGTTGGCCTGCTCTCTATAAGTTGGCCTGCTCTCTATAAGTTGGCCTGCTCTCTATAAGTTGGCCTGCTCTTTATATTTGGACTGCTCTTTATATTTGGCCTCTCTATAAGTTGGCCTGCTCTCTATAAGTTGGCCTGCTCTTTATATTTGGACTGCTCTTTATATTTGGCCTCTCTATAAGTTGGTCTGCTCTCTATAAGTTGGCCTGCTCTCTATAAGTTGGCCTGCTCTTTATATTTGGACTGCTCTTTATATTTGGCCTCTCTATAAGTTGGCCTGCTCTCTATAAGTTGGCCTGCTCTCTATAAGTTGGCCTGCTCTTTATATTTGGCCTGCTCTTTATATTTGGCCTCTCTATAAGTTGAACTGCTCTCTATAAGTTGGCCTGCTCTCTATAAGTTAGCCTGCTCTCTATAAGTTAGCCTGCTCTCTATAAGTTGACCTGCTCTCTATAAGTTGGCCTGCTCTCTATAAGTTAGCCTGCTCTCTATAAGTTAGCCTGCTCTCTATAAGTTAGCCTGCTCTCTATAAGTTAGCCTGCTCTCTATAAGTTAGCCTGCTCTCTATAAGTTGACCTGCTCTCTATAAGTTGGCCTACTCTCTATAAGTTAGCCTGCTCTCTATAAGTTAGCCTGCTCTCTATAAGTTGGCCTGCTCTCTATAAGTTAGCCTGCTCTCTATAAGTTGACCTGCTCTCTATAAGTTGGCCTGCTCTCTATAAGTTGACCTGCTCTCTATAAGTTGGCCTGCTCTCTATAAGTTGGCCTGCTCTCTATAAGTTAGCCTGCTCTTTATATTTGGACTGCTCTTTATATTTGGCCTCTCTATAAGTTGACCTGCTCTCTATAAGTTGGCCTGCTCTCTATAAGTTGGCCTGCTCTTTATATTTGGCCTCTCTATAAGTTGGCCTGCTATCTATAAGTTGGCCTGCTCTCTATAAGTTGGCCTGCTCTTTATATTTGGACTGCTCTTTATTTTTGGCCTCTCTATAAGTTGACCTGCTCTCTATAAGTTGACCTGCTCTCTATAAGTTGGCCTGCTCTTTATATTTGGACTGCTCTTTATATTTGGCCTCTCTATAAGTTGGCCTGCTCTCTATAAGTTGGCCTTCTCTCTATAAGTTGGCCTGCTCTTTATATTTGGACTGCTCTTTATATTTGGCCTCTCTATAAGTTGGCCTGCTCTCTATAAGTTGACCTGCTCTCTATAAGTTGGCCTGCTCTCTATAAGTTGACCTGCTCTCTATACGTTGGCCTGCTCTTTATATTTGGACTGCTCTTTATATTTGGCCTCTCTATAAGTTGGCCTGCTCTCTATAAGTTGGCCTTCTCTCTATAAGTTGGCCTGCTCTTTATATTTGGACTGCTCTTTATATTTGGCCTCTCTATAAGTTGGCCTGCTCTCTATAAGTTGGCCTGCTCTCTATAAGTTTGCCTGCTCTTTATATTTGGACTGCTCTTTATATTTGGCCTCTCTATAAGTTGGCCTGCTCTCTATAAGTTGGCCTGCTCTCTATAAGTTGGCCTGCTCTTTATATTTGGACTGCTCTTTATATTTGGCCTCTCTATAAGTTGACCTGCTCTCTATAAGTTGGCCTGCTCTCTATAAGTTGGCCTGCTCTTTATATTTGGACTGCTCTTTATATTTGGCCTCTCTATAAGTTGACCTGCTCTCTATAAGTTAGCCTGAGCTCTATAAGTTGGCCTGCTCTTAATATTTGGACTGCTCTTTATATTTGGCCTCTCTATAAGTTGACCTGCTCTCTATAAGTTAGCCTGAGCTCTATAAGTTGGCCTGCTCTTAATATTTGGACTGCTCTTTATATTTGGCCTCTCTATAAGTTGACCTGCTCTCTATAAGTTAGCCTGAGCTCTATAAGTTGGCCTGCTCTTAATATTTGGACTGCTCTTTATATTTGGCCTCTCTATAAGTTGACCTGCTCTCTATAAGTTAGCCTGAGCTCTATAAGATGTCATTATCTCTAATTTGGTCTCTCTATAAAATGACCTGCTCTCTTTATCTTTTCTGCTCTTTATATTTGGCCTCTCTATAAATTAGCATGTTCTCTATACGTTAGCCTGCTCTTTATATTTGGCCGGCCCTTTAAATTTGGCCTCTCTATAAATTAGCATGTTCTCTATACGTTAGCCTGCTATTTATATTTGGCCTGCATTTTATATTTGCCTCTTAATAAATTGGCATGTTCTTTATATTTGGCTTGACCTCAATACATTGCTTTGCTCTCTATAAGTTAGCCTGCTCTCTATAAGTTAGCCTGCTCTCTATAAATTGGCCTGCTCACTTTAAAATGCCCTGCTCTCTGTAAACTGGCATGTTCTCTATATTTGGCTTGCCCTCTAAACGACTTTCTGTTATTTAATTTTAGCTCTTTCCATTTTTTTTCTTGAATTCTTTTTAAATTGTCTGTCTGCTTCAATTTTTATTATGATTATAATATTGCAGGCTTTTAACACGCAATATTCTTTTTCATTCAATTTTATTTCTTTTAAACTTTTTCGTCCTTCTTAAAACTTTATTAACACTTTAAATATACACTTTTTATTACGGGAAATGATATTAATTTTTGTGTGTTTTGAAACATTATTTCCTTTATTACTTTTAACATTCCTACAGTGTTGTATATTTAGTTGATTTTTTAAATTTGTTGTTTGTTCAAATGTTCGATGTAATCCTACAGTTTTTATGATAAGATGATATGTTTAAGATACGTATAGTTTCTCTTTAAAACTAACGATCCATTGAGCTAATGAAGTAGAGTTCATATGTTTCTTGACCTCGGCATATGAAGGGATGGTGTGGTCAGTACTTTTCCTTAGCCGCGTTTACTTTCCCTAATGTGAATCGGGTACCCATCCGAGCTGGGTGAACTCAGGGACGTCCTAAAATCATAGGTCAGTACTGAGATCCGAACTCGTGACCTTCGGGGAAGTCGCCCAGCGCTCAACCATTCGGTAACGTCGTCCTATAATAATTTCAAGACAGTGACCAATAACCCTTGTGTTGGTCCATCCCCGGCTATAAAAAAAAAACAACAAACCCAAACGTAACAAGAAATTTGGAAATGGGGGGGGGGGTATTTTGTGTATCTGTAAGACAGGTTGATGGGACGGAGTGGTCTAGCGGTAGAGAGCTGGACTGCTAACCCGTAAGTCTCGAGTTCGAATCCGGGTTCAAGTCAGTAGACCGCCCCTGAGTCCACCCAACTCTGATGGGTACCTGACTCACGTTAGGGAAAGTAAAGGCGGCTGGACGTAGTGCTGACCACACTATCTCTTCATATGCCGAGGTCACAGAAACAAGTGAACTCTACTTCACTTGCCCCATAGACCGTCAGGTTTGAAAGGGAAACATACATTACATACAAGACAGGTTGTGGGACGATGAGCTAGGGCGCTAGAATACTAACCCGAAAGCCTGGAGTTCCAATCCGTGTTCAAGTCAGTGGAACGTCCCTGAGTCCATCCAGTTTTAATGGGTACCTAACTTACGTAAGGGAAAGTAAAGCGGCTAGGGTTGACCGGAGTAAAGAAATATATGAGCTCTACTTCATCTGTTGAATGTATCGCTAGGTCTAAAGAGGATTCCTTACTTTTTAATCTTTATAGCGCCTATTAATTAATCATAAGAGGATAGAATATTTTGTGAGGGTTCCTGTAATATGTTCAGAGGGTTTAGATAATATGTTCAGAGGGTTCAGGGAATATGTTCAGAGGGTTCAGATAATATGCTATGGGGGTTCAGGTAAAATGTTGAGAGGGTTCAGGTAATATGTTGAGAGGGTTCAGATAATATGTTGAGAGGGTTCAGGGAATATGTTAAGGGGGTTCAGATAATATGTTGAGAGTGTTCATGTAATATGGTGAGAGGGTTCAGGTATTACGTTGAGAGGGTTCAAAGAATACGGTAAGGGGGGTTGGAGTAATATGATAATACATTGAGAAGGTTGAAGGAGTTCAGGTACTATAACAGGGTTCAGGTAACATGCTTATAGGGTTCAGGTAGTTTTAAACAGGGTTCCCGAAGAAAAACCAACCCTAGACACAGGTCATTATAACCCCGAGAACATTACCCCCTCCCCCCCCCCACCCCACAGATCGTTAGATCTAAAATGGCATTTCTTCCTGTCCACTAAACATTGACTATAAAAGAGATTGAGTTAATCCAAGTAGTTGGGCCAGTTAGGAAACTGACGTCTTGACTAACTCACCAAAAATAACCACGTTATTTTTTTTTTCCTTGCTTGATGGAGAAAAAAAGGGAGGGGGGGGGGGTGGGTGCGTTTATAAAAGCTACCCTTATTTAGTAATCTTAGGTCAACGTTTGCTGAATGTTATTTTCCATGGGGTGAAACACATACATTGTGTAATCAGTATTTTTTTTGTCGAAGTATCCAGTAGAACTTGGGACGGCGTGGCCAAAGCGGTAGAGCGCTAGACTGCTAGCCCGTAGGTCTCGAGTTCGAATTCGGGTTCAGTTTAGTAGATGGGCTCTGAGGGGCTACAAACGACAAAGCAAAGTGCTGACCCCACCTTCCATTCATATGCCGAGGTCAAGAAACATATGAACTCTAATTCGTATCCCCAAAGAATCGCTAGGTCTGAAAAGTTTTTTTCTGTTTTTTTTTTTTAAATGCACTAGCTGGGTTTGAACCCGTGTCCTACATGATAATAGTCGCGTGCACTATCACTCGACCAATTTATTATTAACAAAATATAAATATTTTAAACAATTTTTCAGTTGGGATGAGCCAGATAAATCGTTTGTGACGGCCTCATTCGTTGGATGCCTCGCGATTCCGGCGGCCATTATGTGCTACAGCTACTTCCGGATTCTATGTATAGCCTTACGTACGAGACACCGAAGGTTACAGTGGGCGCCGCGCAGCCAGGAGATCAAAATATGGGAGAAGAAGGAGCTTCGTTTGTTGAAGGTAGCGACTTTCTTGGTTCGTTTATGTGTTTTCCTAACCTACACATTTTGGTATGAATTAACAACCCATGGATTTGGCATTTTGATCGTACTTCATCGTCATTAAGAATAAATAAAACAAAAAAATATCATTATTTTGAAAAAAAAGCTTTAGCATAACTATTAAAGTGAAATTAAGATAATTTTATTTGAAAATTCGTAAAAGAACACACAGTTCTAAGTATAGAGAGAGTATATTGTTATTTGTCTATGGACTATAATGAGTAAGGCAAATCATGTTCGTCTTTAATTGACCAAAATGAATACAAGGAAGACGCGAGCTTTGAGTCAGCTAAGTTTATTAGAGGTTTTTTTGTAGCATCTCGTCCGGAGTGCATTGTCTTCTCCCCCTCTATCCCCCTACGATGAAATCCCCCCCCCCCCCTCCATACGATGTAATAGAAAAACAAATCATTTAGGTATAATACTGGATTCAATGACCCACTGTACTAATAATGAACTCTACCTCAACTACTCTTTGACTAATCTTGAAACAAATTTTTACTGAATGCATCTAATTTAAAAGTTGATATCTTTGTTGTAGACAGATGTAGGATAATATCATTTTTGACTGACGACATAGAGATTAAATGAAGTTAATATTTTTTAGTCTAATGTTAGACGACTTTAACGATATTAGTTTTGATTTTTAACAGAAGACACTACAGTGTGGTCTTATTATAACGTGAATGATGTTACTATTTTCGTCTTAGGGGTCGTCCATAAATGACGTCACACTCGTAGTGGGGGAGGGGAGAAGTCCGTAATTTTGTGACGGTGTGTGATGAGAGGGGGGGGGGGGGGGGGGTTCAGATGGTGCGACGGTACTCTTTTGCATTATAAAAAAGTAATGTTTGAGAACGAATTTTAGACGTTATTTCGCGTTTTAGAAAACTGTTTTAATAAATTGTAATAAGAATAGTAGTATATTAGGTCCCTTTTGATTATTATTTTTGGCGGAGGTGGGGAGGGTGAGGAACAATGACATATAGTAAAATACTCGGGAGCAGGATGCGCGGGTGGCGCAATGACATATAGTAAAATACTCCCAGCCTGGCGCCGCGGGAGGGTAAGGGTGGGTGAGCAGGATGCGCGGGTGGCGCAAAGACATATAGTAAAATACTACGCCAACTAGGGTTGGCGGAGGTGGAGGTGTGGGTGAGTCACCTTTTGATGACCTTGTGACGTAATCATTGACCTTGTGACGTCATCATTGACTTTGTGATGTAATCATTGACCTAGTTACGTAATTTTAATGCGTTTTTTAATGAGTTTTAATGAGTTTTTTAAATTTTTAATTAATTTTTATTGACTAGTTACGTAATTTGATTATTTGTTTACTTTTTAATTAATTTTTATTGACCTAGTTACGTAATTGGATTTTAATGAGTTTGAATTTAATTTTGTAATTTTAATTAATATTTATTAACGAGTTACGTAATTTGATTATTTGTTTGATTTTAAATTGTTTACTTTGTTTGTTTACTTGTTGTTTATTTGTTTATATTGTGTAATTTTTATTCACTAGTTACGTAATGTGATTTTAATTATTTTTATTTTGTTTATTTTTAATTTTATTTTATAATTAGTTTGAAATTCATTTTATTTCTTTGATTTTAATTACTTTGTTTATTTGTTTATTTAATCTATTTCTTTTCTTTGATGTTTAATTTGTTGGTTTGTTTGAATGTATGTATGTTTTAAATAAAAGACTAACACTAACGTGTACAAATAACAGGTTAAATTCTCCAACACAATGAACGTTACAAAAATAGAACATTCATTTAACCACATCTGTTACTTATCGAGCCAGGATCCGTTGTTGACACGCGCTGCGTGTTTTTAATGGGAATGTATTGATCGCACCCACGGGTCATCACAGCATGATGTCTCACCTAATTACATTTTTCGTTATGCTTCAGTGATTTTTCCCCGCTCGGTTTGATAGGTCATGATGATTAATGGCTTTTTTCCCCGCTCGGTTGACGGGTTATGGTAATTAATCCGAACCATTAAGGTCAGCTTCGCGAAGCCCGCGTTAAGTCTGGGAACACCTGTTACCACGTTAATTGATTTTTCCCTGGTTGGGTCCCGTGCTTTCCACTAACAGGTATACGGATAGTGTCATAGGTTTTTTTTTTTTTTTTTTTTTTTTTTTTCGTCGAGTAAAGAAATAGTATTGATCGACCCGGGTCGAGCGGTGTGTTGTATGTAGTTGGTATATCCATGTTTTGTTGTTGGTTGGTGTAGAGTTTATACGAGGGTCGGTGAAGGTTGGTTTTGAACTCGGACCATGCATGTTTTGTTGTTGTTAGGTGTAGAGTTTATACTAGGGTCGGTGAAGTTTTCACCGAGGTTGGTTTTGAACTCGGACCATGCATGTTTAGGAATTGCTAGGTGTAGAGTTTATACCAGGGTCGGTTATGTATTCGACATGGCTTGGTTCAAAGTTGTTACATGTATGCTTTGGAGTTGGTAGGTTTCAAACTAGCGTCGGTGAAGTTTTCACCGAGGCAGGTTACAAAGTTGATACAGGCATGTTTTGGAAGTGTTAGGGGCCGAATCCATACTAGAGTGGGAAGGATTTTGTTTTCACCGAGTAATGTTGGTACACGGGTGTTTTGGAAGGGGTTGGTGTAGAGTCTATACTACGATCGGTGAAGTTTTCACCGAGGCGTGTTTCAAAGTTGCTACATGTATGTTTAGGAATTGTTAGGGGCAGAGTTCATACTAGGGTCGGGGGAGTTTTGATAACACCGAGACATGTTGGTACATACATCCTTGGAATTGTTAGGGGCCGTCTTCATACTAGGGCCGGTGAAGGTTGGTTTTGAACTCGGAACATGTATGTTTTGGAATCGGTAGGTCTAGAGTTCATACTAGTGTCGGTGAAGTTTACAACGATGCAATATTATTTGTCTTTACAAGTTCGCTTTGTGCTTGTGTGTGTGTGTGTGTGTGTGTTTGAGTGTGAGTGTGTGTGAGTTCATACTCAGGTCGATGAAGTTTTCAACAAGACAGGTTTCAAATTCGGTCCATCCATGACTTAGAGTCAGTTGGTGGCTGATTTATACTAGGGTCGGTGAAGTTTTCCCGATGCAATCTTGTTTTTGTCTTTACCAGTTCGTTTTGTGATTGTGTGTGTGTGTGTGTGTGTGTGAGAGCTTTTTGGTTTGAGTGAAAAAAGTTTGGTTTGCGGTGTATAACAGACACCGATGTTTTGACCGCATAGGACTTCAAAGTTGGATGGGAAAGTTGTCACACCTTGGTAAGGTGGTGGTAAGGTGGTAAGGTGGTGGTAAGGTGGTGGTAAGGTGGTGGTAAGGTGGTGGTAAGGTGGTAAGGTGGTGGTAAGGTGGTGGTAATATTACAATAAATCACAAAAGATCATTTAAATGAATTTAAAAATTTTATTTACTTAAAACAACTCCTGTGTGTGTGTGTGTGTGTGTGTGTGTGTGTGTGTGTGTGTGTGTGTGTGTGTGTGTGTGAATGTGCAGCCCGTACAAAAGGATAATGGCGTCGATGTTCTTCTTCTACCACATCCCCCATTTCCCAACCCCTCAACGTATTCAAACAGAAAACACACTTGACAAGGTCGCCAGGTCCAATGAAGATAAAACCATTTTTAGCCAAACTGATAGCGTCGACCGGGTAGACGTCGGACCAACACCCCGAAAATGTTTGCAACCTTTCCTCTTCATCATGGAACCTGATGTCACTGTCCCTGTCGGAAGCTGGGTTGGGTGGTGGTGGTGGCGTCTCATCAAGAGGTTCAATAAAGGTTCCACCTATAGGTCGCTGTACAAACACTCTCTCATAACCTAGATTCATCTCCCCTTGATTAGTCTCATGAAAGGTACTGATCATCTGTACAGGATACAATCTCACTTCATCTGGTCCAATATCAAGACCCGTTTCCGTTTGATCCGACATTCTCGTGCTCTCAGTGGAATCCCATCCACAGCACTGAAGACAAAAACATTCACCGGACATGGTATAGGGTTCTTATACTGCGGTGTATATAGTATTCCCTGAATACTGTTTTACCACACCTGGGTGGGTTACCGATCAGAACAGTAAAGTTATGTAACTCGGTATCCTGTATAAGATGTATGACTGGAATCAAAATGAACCATTTAAAATACGGGATCCGAGTTGGAAACATACCTTTACTGTTCTGATCGGTAACCCACCCAGGTGTGGTAAAACAGTATTCAGGGAATACTATATACACCGCAGTATAAGAACCCTATACCATGTCCGGTGAATGTTTTTGTCTTCAGTGCTGTGGATGGGATTCCACTGAGAGCACGAGAATGTCGGATCAAACGGAAACGGGTCTTGATATTGGACCAGATGAAGTGAGATTGTATCCTGTACAGATGATCAGTACCTTTCATGAGACTAATCAAGGGGAGATGAATCTAGGTTATGAGAGAGTGTTTGTACAGCGACCTATAGGTGGAACCTTTATTGAACCTCTTGATGAGACGCCACCACCACCACCCAACCCAGCTTCCGACAGGGACAGTGACATCAGGTTCCATGATGAAGAGGAAAGGTTGCAAACATTTTCGGGGTGTTGGTCCGACGTCTACCCGGTCGACGCTATCAGTTTGGCTAAAAATGGTTTTATCTTCATTGGACCTGGCGACCTTGTCAAGTGTGTTTTCTGTTTGAATACGTTGAGGGGTTGGGAAATGGGGGATGTGGTAGAAGAAGAACATCGACGCCATTATCCTTTTGTACGGGCTGCACATTCACACACACACACACACACACACACACACACACACACACACACACACACACACACACACAGGAGTTGTTTTAAGTAAATAAAATTTTTAAATTCATTTAAATGATCTTTTGTGATTTATTGTAATATTACCACCACCTTACCACCACCTTACCACCTTACCACCACCTTACCACCACCTTACCACCACCTTACCACCACCTTACCACCTTACCACCACCTTACCAAGGTGTGACAACTTTCCCATCCAACTTTGAAGTCCTATGCGGTCAAAACATCGGTGTCTGTTATACACCGCAAACCAAACTTTTTTCACTCAAACCAAAAAGCTCTCACACACACACACACACACACACAATCACAAAACGAACTGGTAAAGACAAAAACAAGATTGCATCGGGAAAACTTCACCGACCCTAGTATAAATCAGCCACCAACTGACTCTAAGTCATGGATGGACCGAATTTGAAACCTGTCTTGTTGAAAACTTCATCGACCTGAGTATGAACTCACACACACTCACACTCAAACACACACACACACACACACACAAGCACAAAGCGAACTTGTAAAGACAAATAATATTGCATCGTTGTAAACTTCACCGACACTAGTATGAACTCTAGACCTACCGATTCCAAAACATACATGTTCCGAGTTCAAAACCAACCTTCACCGGCCCTAGTATGAAGACGGCCCCTAACAATTCCAAGGATGTATGTACCAACATGTCTCGGTGTTATCAAAACTCCCCCGACCCTAGTATGAACTCTGCCCCTAACAATTCCTAAACATACATGTAGCAACTTTGAAACACGCCTCGGTGAAAACTTCACCGATCGTAGTATAGACTCTACACCAACCCCTTCCAAAACACCCGTGTACCAACATTACTCGGTGAAAACAAAATCCTTCCCACTCTAGTATGGATTCGGCCCCTAACACTTCCAAAACATGCCTGTATCAACTTTGTAACCTGCCTCGGTGAAAACTTCACCGACGCTAGTTTGAAACCTACCAACTCCAAAGCATACATGTAACAACTTTGAACCAAGCCATGTCGAATACATAACCGACCCTGGTATAAACTCTACACCTAGCAATTCCTAAACATGCATGGTCCGAGTTCAAAACCAACCTCGGTGAAAACTTCACCGACCCTAGTATAAACTCTACACCTAACAACAACAAAACATGCATGGTCCGAGTTCAAAACCAACCTTCACCGACCCTCGTATAAACTCTACACCAACCAACAACAAAACATGGATATACCAACTACATACAACACACCGCTCGACCCGGGTCGATCAATACTATTTCTTTACTCGACGAAAAAAAAAAAAAAAAAAAAAAAAAAAAACCTATGACACTATCCGTATACCTGTTAGTGGAAAGCACGGGACCCAACCAGGGAAAAATCAATTAACGTGGTAACAGGTGTTCCCAGACTTAACGCGGGCTTCGCGAAGCTGACCTTAATGGTTCGGATTAATTACCATAACCCGTCAACCGAGCGGGGAAAAAAGCCATTAATCATCATGACCTATCAAACCGAGCGGGGAAAAATCACTGAAGCATAACGAAAAATGTAATTAGGTGAGACATCATGCTGTGATGACCCGTGGGTGCGATCAATACATTCCCATTAAAAACACGCAGCGCGTGTCAACAACGGATCCTGGCTCGATAAGTAACAGATGTGGTTAAATGAATGTTCTATTTTTGTAACGTTCATTGTGTTGGAGAATTTAACCTGTTATTTGTACACGTTAGTGTTAGTCTTTTATTTAAAACATACATACATTCAAACAAACCAACAAATTAAACATCAAAGAAAAGAAATAGATTAAATAAACAAATAAACAAAGTAATTAAAATCAAAGAAATAAAATGAATTTCAAACTAATTATAAAATAAAATTAAAAATAAACAAAATAAAAATAATTAAAATCACATTACGTAACTAGTGAATAAAAATTACACAATATAAACAAATAAACAACAAGTAAACAAACAAAGTAAACAATTTAAAATCAAACAAATAATCAAATTACGTAACTCGTTAATAAATATTAATTAAAATTACAAAATTAAATTCAAACTCATTAAAATCCAATTACGTAACTAGGTCAATAAAAATTAATTAAAAAGTAAACAAATAATCAAATTACGTAACTAGTCAATAAAAATTAATTAAAAATTTAAAAAACTCATTAAAACTCATTAAAAAACGCATTAAAATTACGTAACTAGGTCAATGATTACATCACAAAGTCAATGATGACGTCACAAGGTCAATGATTACGTCACAAGGTCATCAAAAGGTGACTCACCCACACCTCCACCTCCGCCAACCCTAGTTGGCGTAGTATTTTACTATATGTCTTTGCGCCACCCGCGCATCCTGCTCACCCACCCTTACCCTCCCGCGGCGCCAGGCTGGGAGTATTTTACTATATGTCATTGCGCCACCCGCGCATCCTGCTCCCGAGTATTTTACTATATGTCATTGTTCCTCACCCTCCCCACCTCCGCCAAAAATAATAATCAAAAGGGACCTAATATACTACTAAGAATTGATTAAAATACTCTGTTTTGATAAAATTCAGACAAGATTTTAGAAAAATATCGATGTTTTAAAAAAAAATTCAACTGCAATTTTGAGGAGGGTTGTAGGCTGAGGTGTGACGTCATTTTAGGGAGGGGGGTCTGGCTTTTTGTGACGACGCGTGACGAGAGGAGGGGGGGGGGGGAGGTAAAAGCGTGACGTCATTTATGGATGACCCCTTATGACAGATTACTTGAATGATGTTACTAATTTTGTCAGTTGACAGACGACTAATGATATTATTAATTTTTTAGAATGAAAAAGACTAATGATATTATTACTTTGTCTAATGATAGATGACTAATGATATTATCAATTTTGTCTAATGAAACATGACAATACTGATGCTATTAATTTTTGTGTCTAATGACAGATGAATAATGATATTATTAATTTTGTCTAATGAAACATGACTAATGATATTATCAATTTTGTCTAATGAAACATGACTAATGAAATTTATTTTGTCTAATAACAGATGACTAATGATGTTATTACTTTGTCTAAGGAAAGCTGAATAATGATGTTATTAATTATTTGTCTAATGACAGATGACTAATGATATTATCAATTTTGTCTAATGAAACATGACTAATGATGTTATTCATTTTGTCTAATAACAGATGACGAATGATGTTATTACTTTATCTAAGGAAAGATGAATAATGATATTATTAAATATTTGTCTGATGACAGATGACTAATGATATTATCAATTTTGTCTAATGAAACACGACTAATGATGTTATTAGTTTTGTCTAATGAAACATGACTAATGATATTACTAATTTTGTCTAATAAAACATGACTAATGATATTATTTATTTTGTCTAACAACAGATGACGAATGATGTTATTACTTTGTCTAAGGAAAACTGAATAATAATGTTATTAATTATTTGTCTGATGACAGATGACTAATGATATTATCAATTTTGTCTAATGAAACATGACTAATGATATTATTTATTTTGTCTAATAACAGATGACTAATGATGTTTTTACTTTGTCTAAGGAAAGCTGAATAATGATGTTATTAATTATTTGTCTAATGATAGATGACAAATAATATTATCAATTTTGTCTAATGAAACATGACTAACGATGTTATTACTTTTGTCTGATGACAGACGACTAATGATATTATTTATTTTGTCTAATGACAGATGACTAATGATATTATCAGTTTTGTCTAATGAAACATGACTAATGATGTTATTACTTTGTCTAACGAAAGATAAATGATGGTGTTATAACTATTGTCTAATGAAACATGACTAACGATATAATTACTTTTGTCTGATGACAGATGACTAATGATGTTATTACTTATGTCTGATGACAGATGACGCTACTTATGTGCTCGACCTTCATGCTCTGCTGGACGCCTTACGCCGTGGTCGCCATGATCAAATCCTACGCCGGCCAGCTTCACCTCCCCCCAGCGGCCACCGCCCTCCCCGCCCTGGCCGCCAAAACCTCCCACGTCATCGACCCCCTCATTTACTGCGGGATGAACCGGAACTTCAGCCGGCACTTGACCACGCTTTGGCGTCACCGTAGCAACGTGGACCTGGAGCAGACGACACAGACTATGCCGCTGAAAAATTTGATAACGGATGTGTGAAGCTTGATTAGTGTGAGATGCTTGGTGAAGATTGGATTTAGGATCTCAATCATAGTGACCAACACAAAATCAGTTTAATGATTCGTATATTGAGGATTGAGGTTTTATACCAGTGACCGTTGCCCGTTGAAGATTGTGATTGAGGATCCCAATCATAGTGAGAACAATCATATGATTCGTATATTGAGGATTGAGGTTTTATACCTGTGGCCATTGCCCGTTAAAGATTGTGATTGAAGAAGTGTGATCCCAATCATAGTGACCACAATCAGTTGAATGATTCGTATATTGAGGATTGAGGTTTTAATCCTGTGACCATTGAAGATTGTGATTGAGGAAGTGTATTTTGATTGAGGAAGAGTATTTTGATTGAGAAAGTGTATTTTGATTTAAGGAAGTGTATTTTGATTGAGGACGTGTATTTTAATTGAGGAAGTGTATTTTGATTGAGGAATTGTGATCCGATTGGAGTGAAACTTCAATCATTGTGACCTCAACCCGTTCAGGAATTTGACTGTAGAAGTGTGACCCCAGATCGCAGTGATCTCATTCCACTGAAAAATTAATTAATTAATTAATTAATGTGTGAATTTCCATACCTGTGATTATTAAATTAAATAATTTATTGTGAATATATTACTTATAGTCTTAATGACCACAATCCACTACAGAAATTGATTGTAAATTTAAGCCTTCCACCCCCTGTGATCAAAATCCACTGAAAACTTGAATAGTCAAAGTTTGACTTTCTACACTTGTCATGAAAGTGCTATCACCGCTAGACGCAACGCCTACTTGCAAATACCAGAGGATGAAAAACAAAATGCCATGTATATTTTTGTTATATGTTTCAACTTGACTTTAAAAATCAAAATAATGTTCAAGATGTTGGATATTTATTTCTCGAATTAAAAATGCGATATACATTTTTTGTTTTATTTTTCAACTGTACTTAAAAATCAAAATAATTTTCAGTATGCCGGATTATTTTTTCTTGTTAAATTTTCATATGCTTACGTTTTATTTTTTTTATATTTTTTTGCAAGAATTTTAGTTTTCTGGTACGACAATTTAAGTAACAAACTTCTTGACATAATAAGACGTATAACGCCGGAGTTAAAGACATTTTGGCTTAGCTAGAAATATGCTGTGGTCGATACACCACGTCTTTGGGGAGCAACAGAAACGCGTGAAGGCTCCTCCTTTATTGACTGCGATGTCAAGGTTTGAAGGTTCAATTATTCCAGTGTCCATGTTAGGATAGCGGGCGGGAGAGCTGATGGGCTATGTGTGTACTGTTGAGGGTCAAGGTGCAAGGTGACTGTGTTGACTTTGATTGGCAGGAGGGCGGTCTGATTCACCACGATCAGCATGAGTACTAGCTTACAGATTTACACTAGCGCCGTACGTAACATACAAATGTCCGGCCAACGCCATACCTCACTTACATATGTCCGGCCAATACTAAACCTCACTTACATATGTCCGGCCAATACTAAACCTCACTTACATATGTCCGGCCAATACTAAACCTCACTTACATATGTCCGGCCAATACTAAACCTCACTTACATATGTCCAGCCAATACTAAACCTCACTTACATATGTCCAGCCAATACTAAACCTCACTTACATATGTCCAGCCAATACTAAACCTCACTTACATATGTCCAGCCAATACTAAACCTCACTTACATATGTCCGGCCAATACTAAACCTCACTTACATATGTCCGGCCAACGCCATACCTCACTTACATATGTCCGGCCAATACTAAACCTCACTTACATATGTCCGGCCAATACTAAACCTCACTTACATATGTCCGGCCAATGCTAAACCTCACTTACATATGTCCGGCCAATACTAAACCTCACTTACATATGTCCGGCCAATACTAAACCTCACTTACATATGTCCAGCCAATACTAAACCTCACTTACATATGTCCAGCCAATACTAAACCTCACTTACATATGTCCGGCCAATACTAAACCTCACTTACATATGTCCGGCCAATACTAAACCTCACTTACATATGTCCGGCCAATACTAAACCTCACTTACATATGTCCGGCCAATACTAAACCTAACTTACATATGTCCAGCCAATACTAAACCTCACTTACATATGTCCATAATTCACCTTCAAATGTCCGACCAAGTCCATACCTCACCTTCAAATGTCCGACCAAGCCCATACCTCACCTTCAAAATGTCCAGCCTACGCCATACCTCACCAACACTATCAATTTAACGCCACAAGCCTTTTCGAATTCCCCAGCCTTATTGACACCATTTTCTTATCAGACCAAAAGCGTTTCACGTCTCTAATTGAATCCATTCAACAACTTGACAGCAACTTAACTAATTAATTGTGTAATTTGAACATCTTTTTATATCTTTTAAACACCTTTTTCACACACAAAAAATAAGTTTTAATTTTTTTTTTTCGTGGCATGTTGCGCAGTTATTGGAATAAATTAGAAGAAAAAAAAATCAAGCCACGTCATTACATGAGGTGTAAGGTAAAATCAATCGATGACATTCAGATTCACAGGGCACCAGGGGCGTACAGATTCTAGGGCAGAAATGTCATGCGCCTTGCGTCATGGCCTAGTCGGATTACGCTGACAAAGTAATCTGAACGAGCCGTTTTTTTTTCTTTAGTTGTCGTGGTCTGTTGTTAACAGGGGTGGCGGGAGAGGGGGAGTTAGTGAAAGTGGTGCTAGAGGATGTTTGAATGGTGGTGTTGGGAGGTGGGTGAGAGGTGTGGATGGCATGTTGATGGCATGTTGATGGCAAATGGGTGACAGGTGGATGGCAGGTGGGTGACATCTGGGTTTTAGGTGGATGGCAGGTGGGTGACAGGTGGGTTTTAGGTGGATGGCAGGTGGATGACAGGTGGGTTTTAGGTGGATGGCAGGTGGGTTTTAGGTGGATGGCAGGTGGGTGATTGGTGGGTTTTAGGTGGATGGCAGGTGGATGACAGGTGGGTTTTAGGTGGATGGCAGGTGGGTTTTAGGTGGATGGCAGGTGGGTTTTAGGTGGATGGCAGGTGAGTGACAGGTGGATGGCAGGTGGGTTTTAGGTGGATGGCAGGTGGGTTTTAGGTGGATGGCAGGTGAGTGACAGGTGGATGGCAGGTGGGTTTTAGGTGGATGGCAGGTGAGTGACAGGTGGATGGCAGGTGGGTGACAGATGTTGATGACAGGTGTTGATGACAGGTGTTGACAGGTTGGACAACAGGTGGGTAGCAAATTTAACGACAGATGGCGAGATACCTGTTAGAAATTCTCAGCTGATCGTGGCCAAGAAAGCCTTCAATCCTAATACACTGACCTATATTCTTTGAGTTCAATAGAGTTTGAATCCAACTGAGATTATGGTGGTAGAATGGGTACCTAAGTTGAATAAATTTGAAGTTTTCAAAACACAAACCACATACACAACTGCTAGACTGCCGCTTGATTAATGTCACCGTCGCTTCGTCCTTGAAATTCCGTCAATATTAAATTGCCTTTAATGTTGGTAAGCCTTGTTAATCGTTTCAATTATATAATGTCACTTAATTTATGCTACGTCTCTCCTTTCTATATCTCCATTTATATATATATATATATATATATATATATATATATATATATATATATATAGTCTATGTTGACCTGGGCATTAAAGCCTGTCCATTTTATCCTGCCTTTTGATAAGTGTCTACATACTCATATGTCATATAGTTTTATATGCAGGGGAGGCCACTGCTTTTATTCAGGACCGGTAACTCTCGAAAATGAGTTACAGTAATAAAGGACTCACATAATTCATCACACATAGCTAATACTCATGTTCCCTTAATAATAGTTTCACTTGTATGTTGTTGTTTTTTCTCAGTTCTCACTAGCAATTTACATTTTTTTAGATTTGATCAGCTAACATTCTAACCCCAGGGGTCATCCATAAATGACGTCACGCTTTTCTGGGCGATTTTTACCTCCCCCCTCCCCTCCGTCACACGTCGTCACAAAAAGCCAGACCCCCCCCCTAAAATGACGTCACACCTCAACCTACAACCCCCCTCAAAATTGCAGTTGAATTTTTTTTAAACATCGATATTTTTCCAAAATCTTGTCTAAACTATTACAATTTATTAAAACAGATATCTAAAACGCGAAATAACGTCTAAAATTCGTTTTCTAACATTGCTTTTTTATAATGCAAAAATGTGACGTCGCAACATCTGACCCCCCCCCCCTCCCCCTCATCACACATCGTCACAAAATTACGGACCCCCCTCCCCCCTACGAGTGTGACGTCATTTATGGATGACCCCCCCCCCCCCCCCACCAAAAAAAAGATGACGTTAGGAGAGTTCACGTATGTCTATGTACCGAAACCCACACAAAAATCTCGTCCAAACTTTCCCTATGTAACTATTGTTCCTGAAGATCAAATTTATTTAGATAAAATTAAATACGACCTGTATGGTCTACCATACAAAATATAATTACCCCGCAACATAATGTCTATTATGTCTGTATATTTAGACCCAATGTAGCAATACCATCATCTAATCTTTTAAATAACAAATTGTTACATTATCCCACAAAAACGTTTTGGCTTTTTTTTTTCACTAAGTTTAAGGGGTGGGCTCCAGAAAAAAAAAAACACTTCTTAAATTATTAAGTCTTATTTATTTATTTGCATGCATCTGAGTTATGGTATTTAAAGGAAAATATGTGCATGCATCATGGATTGTGAAATGCCATTAAAATTAATGCCAAATTTAATAGTATTCGACAAAACACTATTTTGAAAATTTGAAAAACAAATTAATTTCTAGAGTGTTTTAGCTACAAAAACTAGCCAGCAGACTCAATTAATAAGTAAAAAAAAATGATTAATTGTTGTTTGATCAATACATGTGTTAAATTTGTTAATCTTAAGACCTCCTCAAAAGAATGATGTTTGTTTTTCAAGATGGCCGCAGTTGCCATAGCAACCATATTTTC